GCGCTGCGGCTGCGGCTGCGCTGCGGCCAGCTGTTGTTGACCTTCGAATCATTCTTGATGACTCTTGACTAAGAGCAAGTGTGGTCAAAGACTGAACTTCGTGTAAAGAAAAGATAATCTATTTATTGATGAAAAATGGGTAGTTGGAGTTTTTTTTAAATTATATAGAAGAATAAATAATGGTTCACCAATTGTATTTCAGTCTGGGAAGAATTACGTTCATACGAAAAATATTCCACAGAACGTAACATTTAAATATTTTTTGGAAAATCATGACATGTCCATTATAACAGTGCTAACAACATTCAGAGGATTAAAGAAATATATTATTATTTATAAAAGCTGTGATATTTGAATTTAAAAGTATCAACAATAAATAAATATTACTGTAAATTGTGTTTATTATAAAACCAAGTTGACGAAGTTGTAAACCTCTTACATCAATCCCCTTTGCCCTTTGCCTTTGTTTATTGTTAAAGGACTTAAAAAAAAACTTGATCTTATGAAAAACGTTTATTTCTAAATACTTATCACACATAAACTAGTTAGTAACAAAATATATTATGCTAAATCCAAAACCCTGTAAGAAAGGCACAAAATTAACTTTGTTTTCTATAATTATTTGTTCCCGCGAGTTTTGACTGTCGAAACATTTGTACTAAAATAGAATTGTCTGTTTAATTTCATTCAAATAACATGTACAGTCAAGGCCATTCGCGGTGTTCCGATTAAAGAAAAATCGCCTTGTCTCTTGCAAGAAACTCCGCCTAGTCTCACATATAACCAATTAGGTGACAATAAACTGCAATGACGGGATAATAATAAACCTTTATATAAACAAAAACATTTAAAGACATTTGTTATTTTTTCGTATCGTCTCATAGTACATAACGTTTCAACGATTATTTGTTTTAAGTGGGAACACCGCCAAATTACCCGATTGTACATTTTTTACGTATGTTTCGGCAATGGAAGACAACACTTACAACATTATGTGTTCTATTTATATGGCAAAAATACGTAATTTTACTTTACATAAAATACAAAACTTGATAAGTCAAAAAAGGCGTATTTACAAGTATTTTTACTGGTAATACTAATTTATTAAAAATATATACTCGTATATACAAAGCACAATAAAAGAAATATGTTATATGGAGCAAAAGTCAGTCTTAAACGTTCCATATTATTTACAAATCGATGGCTCCTACGTAAACTATCGTAAGTTTGAAACGCAAATTTTCAAAACAAGACTTAAGATTTAATTACGATGTATCAAACATGGAAAATAGGCTACAAAAATCTACATTCCTTCTTTAACCATGTCTTTTAAAACACAGAAATTAGTATTTATCGAGTTAATTAAATTATGTACACGGTGTAAATCTCAAAATTGTGAGTTACGATAGTCGCGTAGGAGCCATCGAATAAAATGCTGCCTTGTTGGCAGTGCTTATGTTAAAAATGGCATATTCACAAATACGGTTAATAAATTGATTTTGTTTTATAAAATCCATATTTCATCAATTTCATAGTTCACAAATAAAATGTATGAAAAAAAAACATACAATATTTTCAAACAAACAATACAAAAAAAAATTTATCCCAAAAAAGATTTCTTTATTTAGATCAGATTATTCTTCGATATCTCGATTTTTAAATCGGTTTTATGCTTAGTTTACATTATTCCGTGTCAGTGATCGAATTCAGCGGAGGATTTTATGCCTGGTACACACTTGGTCAGACCAGTTAACTCACATTAACAAAGTGGCCAAGTGTGAACCAGTCATAAATGTAAAACCACACTGGAATACATTGTGTTGGATATTTATATCTAGCGCTGGAATCGATCGCTGGACTGGAATAATATAAACAGCACATAACATTTAGTCTTATAGAATCATCATTCAATTGATAATACTTAAGTTCAGGGTTCCGCGTGGTGTTTGCTAGCAAGGGGCTGCAGCTCTGCAGGGGGCGGGGGGTGTGTGGGGTGTGTGGGGGGTGCGGCGCGCAGACGGGGGTAGACGGCGCGCAGGGCGAGCAGCGCCAGCAGCGTGAGGGCGGCGGTGGCGGAGAAGGCGGCGGCGGGCCCGCGCCGCGCGTACACCCCCGCCACGAACACGGGGCCCAGCGCCCGCGACAGGCACCCCGCGCCCGTCAGCACCCCCATCCATACACCCTATGTATTTATAGTAACCTCTAAAATTCCATAAAATAGCAAAGCGATTGTTTACAGACATCTGTATGTGTTAATCAACAGAAGAAACAAACAAAACAGAATATTTTCCCCAACTATACGTTTTATCCCGCACAAAATTCATTTACCCGTTCAATCTATTCTTTGTACGAAAAACATAAAAAAGAGAGGATGACTAATATTAGACCTTCAGTATTCGCTTAACTTAAGATCTGTCTTTTATCGCATGTTACAAGGAGAATGTTAGTTATGAGTGTGGAAGGGAACATCGGTAGAGATAGACCTAGAAAGAGATGGATGGTGTAAAAGGTGACATGATCAAAAAGGGAGTGATGACTGAGATGACATATGATAGTGTTATGTGGAGGACAAAAACCTGTTGCGCCACTACGGGAGTAGGATAAGGTGATGATGATGTTAAAAACACCCAAACTTAACAAATTATTAGTTACTAAATAAACAATTTTCACTTCAAGAAATGATCAGTTTACGTTAACACATTGTAATCAATACAATTAGAACTTAATAGAAGAAAAAAGGTTCTCTGCAGGCTTAGAAACTTTTTAATATCAGTATTGCTAAGGTCGGTTACCTGCGGGCGTGGTCCGAGCACCTTGGAGAAGATGGTCTGTATGAGGGTGACGCCGAGCGGGTAGCCCACTGACATGCAGCCGTACGCCAGCAGGAACTGCGCCAGCGACAGCGCGCGAGACTCCGCGCACCACGGCTGCGACTCCTGACACAGCACAAGGCCCATTATGAAAAGGGACAAAAAACTAGGAGAGTTTTCGTCCGTAGGCCACTGAGGTCACTTGTGAGTCGGGCATGCCCATTAACGCGGGCCCTTTGGTAACCATGAGGATTTCCTTCCACCAACGTCACATCACCACATCCACTCCCAACCCAGCACTTGTATGCAAACCATAGATATACATAAATAGATAGGCTCATAAATAAATATAAATAACAACTTTTGCGGCATTTCAACTGAAATGCATTTATTAATGGCTAAAATAGACACAACCGTAGTTTATAACCTGTAAATTTACAAAGATCAGTGACGCCAACACTATTGATTTTTTTAAGAATGAACAGTAAGGGCAATTTTAGGTACATTTATTACATTGTATAACGTTTAATGTACCTGTGGGCAGCCGCCGTGGGCCTCCGCGTTGCCGGGGTCTGCGAGGGGCGGAGCGCCTGGCCCCCAGGGGATGCACAGCAGCGAGGCGACCACCACGGGCAGGAATCCGCCCCACAGCATCAGCGCGCTGCGAAAAGAACACGAGTTAATAAAACTTTTTAGTAATTGCACAATGTTGTACGATTGTCGATTATTTTGCAGCCAATGCAACTGTTTAGTTGCACAACTTAAAATCGAGTAGTGTGACCTCCATATAACCTCATAGGATAAAGCGAGACAAAACAGTTGTTCGATATTTTAGTCAAAGGTGTTGGAACGCTTTTACTGTACTCTTGTAGGTACTTATGAAGTCTTCTTCTGTAGCTCTACAGCCCTTTGTAGGCCTTGGCTTGGTCCAGTAATTTTTGCCATTTCGGCCTATCTCTGGCCTCGGTCGTCCAGTTCGTCCATATTTGGATTTTGGATATGTTTCACAATGTTCTCTTTAATCTTGCATGTTTTTTGTGAACAAATATTTTTTGGTCAAGAAATTATCACTCCGGAATACGATGTTATCTTAGAGGTGCGACAACCCGCACATACGATACGATATCGGTGGTTGTTCCATATTTTAAACGGAACGTACCTAAATGTTTACGATAAAAAGTCCGAAAAATAACAACTTGTGCAAACAAATACATTAAAAAAATTGAACTGTCGTCAATCAGATCTTTAGTTTTAATACGTGAAATCTACTCTAAGAAACATCGTTAACCATTTAATAACGCCTGGCGAAAATGTATTTACCGTTCCTCCAGGAGTTTGGTGAGCGGCGGTATGGCGGCGAAGACGAGGCAGGCGACGAGCGCGCCGGCCGACATCAGCGCGCCCAGGTACTGCAGCGCCTGCGCCTTGCCCCACCCGAACTGCTCCATAGTGAGGGTGCTGGCCAGCGTCTCCAGCAGCACGAAGTTAAACACCAGCACGAAGAACGCGCCCACCAACATCCAGCTGCTCACGTAGTCCGGCTTTAGAGATTTCAACACTTCTTTCTCTGGAAGGGATAAAGGGTTCATCATAAAAAGGTCAGCAATTATTGGTTAATGCAGTATTCATTGAGATATCGGAACGCTAAGCATTAGATTAAAATCAAAGAGTCTTTTAATCGCATGTGATCTAGGAGCAGAGACCGTCAGTAGCCTGTAACTTCTGTCTTTTTAGGTTGAAGTATTAAAAGTTGAGCTTAAAAAGTAAATGTTGTTCTTTACCTGATCGTTCCCCTCTAGCCTGTACAGCTTCACGCAGCGCTATATCACTGACATGGAAGCAGCCGGGCATCAGTAGCAATAGATTGATAAGACCAAGCGCCGCGTTGAGTAGACCTGGAGCGCTATACATGTCGAAACGCAGGCCGGAACTATCGGAGGTGCCGAGTGGCGCGGCAGCCGCCTGCAGTGCTGGCCCGGCAACGAACCCCAGCACTTGCGCTAGTGACACCGCCGACACCGCACGTGTGCGCTCCTCCTCACGAGTCGCTGCGGATAAGTATGCACGCGCTACCGCCACATTGGCTGGAACGAAAATAACAGAGACGATATAGTCGGAAATATTGAACTTTAGCCACATACAGAAGGAAGGAAGCAGAAGAACATCTTGGCTTAAAAATCTTCGCCAATGGACAACAAAAGTCCGCGTTCTTTAAAACTGCAGTGTCTAAAGTTGCTATGATTGCCAACCTTAGTTAAGAGATGTCACCAAAAGAAGACGCCACATACAATCGACTAAACAAAGGATCATAGGACACTACTCAATAAACAATAATTTTGGCGATAACCTTTCTTGGATAAATAAAAACAAGCTAATCATGTTGTACTTACAAGAGCTGACACCGATTAGGAATCTGGCGGCGATCATGCAGGACACCGCGTAAGGCCTGGTGAGGTGCAGCTGCGAGTAAAGGGCAGATGCCAGGGCGAAGAGACCTAGTGTTGCAGAGAGCGGCGCGCGCACTCCTGCGCGGTTGGCCCACAAGCCCAGTAGTGGAGATAACATCAACTGGCCGAGCGGGCTCGCACCCACTGCTACACCCAGCATGTCTTTTTTTGTTCCCGGCTGCAACTGTAAGCAACATTAACACCTTTAATGCCATCGACCATCATTTGTTTTAGAGAAAGTATCGGCAAGTAACGTGTTAAGATACATTAAAATGACAATTCTGTTTATACCACAGATCAATTTAAATTTTGAAAAACATTGTAAAATTCATATAAAACCATGTCAAAGTACATAACCACATTATTTATTCAAGGTTTCGAATCGACCGTCCGAGAGCAAAACAACTTCACTGCATTTATGATTATTATCAGCATAAATTCTCAACATATATCTTTATACGATAGTTCAAGTATCCCGCAACAGTGGAAGTGCTAAATACTTATTTGGACTCACTTATGGTAAAGAACTTAGAATGTAGAGAATTAAAAAAGAAACCAATGGGTCTGGACACTACAGAGCGAACGACCTCGCTGCTTCCTGTTGCACCGTATCATTAAATGTCTGAGATACTGCATGTTACGACTCATGTAACACACAAGAAAATTGAATAAAGCAGCTAAAACCACATAAATAAAACTTGGTCCCTCGAGTCGGAGTTTTTATAACTATGGATTACTCTGTTAACTCACAGATTGTTTGGCTGATCAGATCAAAGAAACGATTTACAGATTAATTCAATTTGTATACGCATAGAGGTGTGATTCACGTGAGTTGCTCGGCTCCCATGATTGTGATACATCCGTGAGCTGCTAATTTAACGGTGCAATACTATGTGTACTGTTTACACCTAATTTTGTTAAATTGGTGAAATATTACACGGTCTATTTCTTACCATTGTTGTTCCCTATTCCTTAAAATTTCACTCCCAAGTAACGAGATATTTTAAACTCAATACGTACATGGCAGTCATGAGTTTTTTATTTTAATGTACATTATGATTAATAATATTATAAATGCGAAAGTTTAGATTGATGGACGTTTTTTATAGTTTGCAGCCTAAACTACTGAACGGATCTCGATAAAATTTGGCGTAGATGTAGAGGATAGTCTGGAAGAACAGAGGCTACTTACTTACTTTTGTCTTTTATAATTCCAAGCGAACCGAGTCGCGGACGAAAGCTAGTTTAAAGCATAATTGTGTTGATGTTGATATATAATGATGTAATTGTTTTAACCACGGTATATATTTAACAAGGCTATTATGTATTTATGTATGCCAGAATACATTAATTGTGACGCGACCTTGCTTAGTATTCTATTACAATGAAACATATTGTTCTAATTCCGTTGATTTTCAATACAATTGAAGTTTTTTCTTTTAAATAAAAATCAAGTATAATATTACACTCCCTTGAATTTGATTTGCAATATTTAGCAGAAAAATAATAATTGTAATAATGTTCTGCAATCTCTTGAGATATAAGTGAACGTACATTTTTCCACTAGTACATGCAAGTGATATTTTCAAGTCGCGCTAATCCCTTAGTGAAAAAGCGGTCTAAATGTAACAATAGGTCCAGTTTAGCAACACTCGCCCACTGCCCTCCGACCTTTGTGCTATCAGTGACGTCACTCGATAGTCATTCTCATTGTGAAGCATTTGCACAACTGTTATCACTAATGCTTTGTTTAATTTTAAAACCCTGGAAAGAGGTGACACAAAATATCAGATATGTACTTTTCGCCCGCGAGTCCGTCCGCGTGGAATTAAAAAAATAGTCTGTGTTCCTTCAAATTATGCTCTACATCTTTGTCTTTGGTCGAGATCCGTTCAGCTGTTTAGGCGGCAAACACTAACAAACATCCATCCATCCATCTAAACTTAATAGTAAGAAGATAAAATTATTTATATTAATGATTCTTACATAGTTTTGATTACTCTATGATTTGATTCTTGTTAAATAATAATTAAGATAACCAAATTGTTAATAAAAACAAAAATATACAAATGGAAAACAGAGTTTAAACGATCTATTGTGTTTTGTTATTCCAAAGTAGTTAAGTAATTTTTTGTACGTTTTAAGACTCTTAAATTGATGTCGCTAGTTTAAACTTAAGTTTTATAAACTACCAGCTTTCACCCGCGACTCCGTCCGCGTAACAAAAAATAACAAAAATGAGTAGGCTATGTGTTCTTCCAGACTATCCTCTACATCTATACCGAATTTCATCAAAATCCATTCAGCAGTTTAGGCTGCAAACTCTAACAAACATCCATCCGTTTAAACATTCGCATTTATAATATAAGTATGAAGTATGATTTTATAATGATTCTTGTCGAAAACCAAATACAATAAGATAATTTTTATCTCCGTTTAAACAATGAATGGGATGTTTTTCACGTGTGTTTCGGCAATGTAAACAGCGTTAATCAGACAATACGTGACTTCGTGTTGATGTTTAGTGCTGTGCAACTATAAACATTTATTCATTCAAGATGTCGTAATTGTTAAACGTGTTACGATATTGCACTATAAAAATACTCAAATACTCCCGTTACTGACAACCCTGTCTCCACAGCTATAGTTCTACAAATTATCTGACCCGGTAAATAAAACTGAATTATGATAGCTTATTACCTTCTTGTGCAAAATTTTTTATGTTCATGTTTTAAATATTTTCTGACAGAATCAAAGAGTTCCTCTTACCGGGCCAAACGTCCTTGTTTATCTATATTGTCGTAGCAATACAGGGATTGGGAACGTTCTTTTAAGAATTCTTTTAAGTAATTCACAATTAGTTTTTAGTACACTGGACATTTCACAATAACTATGTGTTAATTAAAATATACAACAAAATATATGTTGTGTTTTTTTTCTTTACAGTTACTATTTTAATCTTCATTTTCCTAAATCATTGTCTATTCCGATTACTTTTTTATATGAAACTAGCTGTTCCCGTGCGGCTTCATCCGCACGAAATTATAAAAACACTAGCTGATCCCTTGCGACTTTATCCGCATGAAATTATGAAAATTTTATTTTACTGTTCGTGAAATTTTCAATAGCAAATGTCAAAATGACATGACGATGACAAACCTTAGCAATCTTTCTTAATTTTGGCAGCAACTTATGGTCTCTTTCCCACATTAGGGTTTTTATCCGAAATATTTACCCCTAAGTTTAAAAGCGTAAAAATATATAGCCAAAAACGTGACGGAATTGTAGGGCTTTTTATTAAAAAAAGAATTATTCAAAAATATGCTGTAATGTGAAGTGTGTGTTTACGCTTTATTATATTAGTAGAAATTAATTTATTTGTACGTTTGTCTCATGACTACTTTGAGGTTAGTTTTTTTGCTAATTTTGACAGACTGACAAATTGCAGGAAGTCGTTACTAACCTGTTCTTAGGTAAAAAGTTTTTGGGTAAGGTCGCTGACATTGTTATACTATACAGAAACAAAGGTTTTTTTTATTTAACCCAAGTTAATAACATATTAAGTTTAGGAAAAAATTAGTGTCGTTTGGTAATTTAATGTATTCAAAATGACTTGCATGATGTAAGATTTTATATATAGTATGATTCGAAAATATTATTATAAAGCTGGTATATATTGGCGCACTATCTGTCTTTTATGTATGCTGTGAGATTCTCTCCCTTGTCGCCCTCTACCGCTCGAAATCAGAAACTTTGGATAGATATGTTGGGTAAAATTGTCATATTTTCAGTCAAGAAATCTAGGGTCTTCTGTTGTCAACGTTTTTTGAGACATCCTGTATGCTATTTCTGTTAATGTAAAAGTATGAAGGTTCTCAAGTAAATTTATCGAAATTTATTTATTTACATAACCCAATTATGATTAACACTGTTCATTATTAGATTAAGGGCTCGTCCCACCACTGGCTGTTAGAGGTTCAGATATCTTAAAAGTGACGTCACTGACAGATTAAGTTCCAAAATAAGATACTTCCATCACATACGTATTTTATACGTTGGATTGTTATCTCATAATTTACAAGAATTGTGAGACAGGCCCTTATTACTTCACTTCTGAGGTATATTTTTAAAGTTTTATCATATCCAAGACGAATTTAACTTTAAACGCCTGCATACACTTTCGTACCGTGAACGACATACCGATAGCTCTATCCCTTGTTTTTTTATGTGATAGAAAGAGATAAAATATATCACATTCTATTATGACGTAGAGTTTGATATTTATCGCGTTTCTCTGACCTTAAATAAAGGGATAGCATGTTAAAATTAACGTTTATTTATTAACTAAAACATTCCAAACAAATTCTTCTAAAACTAACATTCGAGGAATATATTTTTAGACCGGTCAAATAAAGCAATATCAAAATAAAATTGGTAGGAACGTTCGGAAATTTTTGAATTTGGAATTTAACAGATTGTTAGCATCGTTTAAAAACAAAGATTATAAAGTTTAAAAACAAAAGACAAACGATATATTTCCGAACAGTTATTTCGAATATGGAAACGGTGAACAAAGATTCCTGCTTTCAAAATGCTTTTTCCTTCTCAGTTCTCAATTATGAATAATTATCACTTCATTATAAGTTACGTAATGCACTCAATACAGAAACTAGTGTCTCTAATAAAACAAGTACTTATCAACTGGAAGACAATAAAGCGTCATAAAATTTATATCGCACGTGTTAACCGCTTAACAACAAAACCAATAAGAAACTGATAACTATATTACAATACAAAAAGGTAATACCTTTTTAAATAAGGCCGGAGATACACATGCAAGTAACTGGTATCTGCTAGCAAGTGTGTCAGCTACTTGTGATGCTCCAACTGACATCAATCTCTACAGTTACACCTTGTATGTAGGTCCTTATTTTCGAATGATAGCGCTTGCATCTACATATTTCTTCAAATTACGACCCTCTCTCCTTTTCCCGCCTTCGTACAATAAGTCTAAGGTCACCAGAGGGTCCACCTGGACCAATTAGAGAATACTGGTCTATTTGAAATCTTTAGTTGAATAGTACATACATATGAGACGATATAGATTCAGTGACGTGAAACGTATCTGATATCCTAATGTTCAGGTTACAAGAATAAAGCGCAGTCCTTACCTAGGTAATATTTCACATTATTTGTCTATTTATAAGCCTTATTGTCTAAAGACAATTTAATATATGTCTTGATATTATAAAAAGAGAAAAAAACGTTGCTACCAGATAACTCTGTTCTTGTAAAATTGACTGGAAATTATCGCTTAAAATCTGTATAATCGAGAAGACTGAAAAGACTCGTGAGTCATGAATAAGTGAACTGATAATGACGATAAAACTACAGGAGGCACAAAACTTGGGTCGCAAAATATTGACCAATTACTTTCATACATTTAACCACAGATACGTAAAATTCCACTGCCCTGTAGCACTTATATTATATTGTTATATGACGTATCCATCAATCCGGTTTGATTGCCAGGTTGTAAATAGAAAGACGCGGGAATCCGATAATCGTTTGTAAACAATATCTTACATTGTACATACGCTACCAGACCCAGTTCAAAAACCGGTTCCAAATTTAAATTTAACTTTTCCTTTCGGTAACTCACTTTATTATTTACAAATTAAATATGTCAAACTCGTCACTTATATTGACGAATTGTTTTAATCACGTCCAGTTTTAAAAATCCCGTTAGATTTATTTTTTATGATTAAAAATCTTAATTTAATTTAGAGAAATCTAATAAGACTAAAAACAATACCAAATAGACAAGATTAGATCGTTAATGTTAAAGAATTTATCGGACTATTAAAGAATAATTACAAATACAATTATAATAACCAGTACTAATTAGCAACTGTTTGAAACAACATTTCTTAGATCTCTAAAAATGTAACAAAAGAAATATTTTAAAGATAAGACGTAAAGAAAGTACCATATCAAGGTAGGGCCAGACGCCAGTCAGCACTATACTGAAGCCGAGGGACATCTGGAACATGGTGAAGTAGATGACGTATACGCTGCGCCACCGCCGCCGCCGCTCCTGCGCAGTCTCCAGACCATCCTCTGGCAAATCCCGATTGTTCCCCTCGCGTACATCGCGACCGAATAACCGCTTTAACCACTCCATTTGTACGTTAGCTGCACGCCACGTTCTTATTATCACTAAGATTGTCGTTATCAAACATTATAATTATCCACTAAACACAAACGAAAAATAAACAAAGGATCGTGTGCGCTTTTGTCATAACATAATACACAACCACCTTCCACGAAGCGCTCGGCGCGACTGATTGTCATTGGTCAATGGTCATTGGTATTTGGTTTTGATATTCGTGATTTCTCTGGCTCGGCCTCTACTTACGCCGCGCGTCGGGCATCGCCGTATGCTATACTGATAGAGCTCCTAGATAGTGGATAGATTAGAAATATTTCGTATCATTTAGGCTTCATTTTCTTTGTATTGAGCTTGGGTTCAATAGTTGTATTTTTTAAGATAACATACACCATCATGTCTTTGTGATACGTGTATATAACATGCATATTTTTATTCATTGGTTTTTACTACAGAAAGTAGTAACTTAAGACTTTTTCCTACTCTATTATGCTATGTCACCTCATTCCTCACTACTACATCCATCCATCGATTATAAAATCTTGTTTATAGTATAAATTTTCTTATATTGATCATTGAATATTTATTACTTAGTCTACATACTAGAGGTGATGCCGAACTCAGACTCATAAAGTAATCTCCCTTAGTGTAGATTCAATCTAAGACAACTACAGTACAAACATACGTGACTAATTCATAATTTTTGTTAGTAAATCTTCTATTGGACAAGTGGTGTTTTCTATGTCCCTGAAACAAAAGAATGAATTCTGGGTGAATAAACAAAGAGTAATTCTAAAACGGCTGAAACGATTTTCGGAATAAAGGACAACCATGTATTACTAGAACAGGATAGAGCTCTTTTCGAAAAATTGAAGCAGAGCAAGACCTCAATAACTGTCCGTTTTATCACTCTCTGGTGATGGTGACTATGTTAAAATATGATTTAAGGACAATATTAAAAAAAAAATCTTGTTTCCGTAGCCTGACGTCAGCGTATTATTGCTTCAGATAAATTTTAAAATATAAGTGTTATCATTAATGTATTTTTAAAAAACAATACAAAACACGTAACTCTAGATCAGACATTGCTAAATAAAAGTCTTGTGAAGTTTATGAAGCAAATCTAGCTTATTCTTTATATCTTAAATCTAAAATTAAAACAAAGTTATTTAGATAGAGAAAGGAAGAAATAAATGCATAAATGTTTAAGTTATTTGTCCTTGAACTATAATTGGATAGTCATGCATGGTCACCGTAATTCTTCTCCAATAAATTATGTTTAAAACGATTACCTGTGTAAACATAAACCACAATCAGCGTAACACTCGCTTCGGCAAGCCTCCACCTCCACGACACAAATTCTTTCCATTTTAACTAAGATTCTTCAAAAATATTACGAAATTAAAAAAGACTCTGACATGAACGTACGAGTCGGGATGTCATATGAGGTTGTCAGTTCAGTTGTCCGAATTTCAAACAAATAAAAGAAAACCTGTTCGCCAATCGCAAAATTGTTGCGTTAATTAGGTTTTGCACGTAGCATCAAATAATATTTCTTTAATATATCGGTAATAAATTATTATTAATATTTAGAAACATTTCAGAAGTAAATGTTTTCACTTCATTACATTATGTCAATCGCCTATTTTTCTACAAACAACGAAAGGATTGATATCTGGCAATTCTAGGTCACTGTTAGAAAGAGACACAGCGGACACTCGTAGCCCTCTCACTCGGCTTCAATTTTATTTAGCGTGCAACAAGACTCTTACGCCCTTAGTATAAGGTTTTATTTCCTGTATTTTAACTGCAAAATGTAAAGATAGAACACACTCCTGTTGTACGTAGTACTCATCACCTCCATGTGGACAACATATTCAATACAAATCCTAATGTTTATGAAAAATAATTGTTTTGCATAGAAAAATAATAAAACGTGTTGCAAGTTATTTTTTTTTTTTAAATTATTTTTTATAATTTGGTTTGTCAAACATTGACTTTATGTGTTCTGTCGTCCGTCTGTAAATCTGTGGTTGGTTGATCGATTTTACATTTGACAACTTTGACAACTGAAAACTCGTTTAGGATTTTTCGCGAGTCGAAAATTATTCCTGTTCCAAGATACATTCAGGAAAAGTCATTTTTCTCAAAATGTTTATTACAAGACCCGTATTATCTCGACTGTTCCAGCAAACAGGTAACTATCGTCAATTTTCCATTGGGAATTCGGATACATGTACTTTCTACTTATTAATAATTAACGATTTTTATTTATTTTACTTAGGAGACCCATCTGAAACGATCCTACTTTTACCTTAATATTTTAAATGTATTTTTTCTTTCTATACTTTGTAGCGGTTAGCACTTAAATGAGTAAATTTGTTGTTACATAACAAAATACTAACCTAAAATTCTTATCAAACTATTCACCACCATTATGCGTCCTCTGGGCTTACTAAAATGCATCTATAGGTACTTATGGTAGAGTTCCATAAATAAAGATACGATATTTTCCAAATTTACTAAAATACATTTTTTATCTGCAATAGAGTAAAATGGTGTTTCATACAATAACAAGATAAAATCATTACACGCAATTGATCTCAATATGCAAAATGTATAAGTTTAATGGTTAAATGGAGCGTCGGTGGATCAGTGGTTTAAGCACTTGACTTGTAATCTACAGGTCTTGGGTTCGAAACCCTGCCATGTACAAATGTGATTTTCGATTTTTCGAATTTTCATATGTACATAATTTACCCGACGTTCTTACGGTGAAGGAAAACATCGTGATGCAACCTGCACATATCGGCGAAGAAATTCAAAGATGTGTGTTAAGTCAACCAACCCGCACTTGGCCAGCGTGGTTGACTACGGCCTAGTCACCCTAACTTTAGGGTAGGCTCCGAGCCCCTCGGTGGGGACGTATAGTGAGCTGGTGATGATAAGTTTAATGGTACATCCTCACAACATGCCTTCTTTCTTTCACCTTTTTAAAATATCAAGAAACATTAATAAATATCAGTTACCATAACACTTGATTATATCCTATTGTGACTTCTATTATTGTGTTTATAACTTCTTTATGGCTTGCTGTCACCCACAATCACATCCTCGCTAAACTAAAAAAACTTAAGTAGTGTTCTTCTAGACTATATCCTACACTACACATATAAAAAAACCACAGACACCTATTAAGCCATTCTCAAGTTACCTACAAACATCCATCCATCTACACTTTCAAATATATAATATTAGTAAGATTATCTATAGCAGTGCAATATTAAATTCTATGTGGAAAGGTTAATTCTTTCTGTGTACAGTGCGCCGCTACCATGCCGGTGAGGTCAAGCCACCCAGCATGGATGAGCTGCCGGTACCCAACGGCTCGTGGCAGGCGCGCTACGACGCCAGCCAGAGGCACTACAACTCAGTGCTCGCATTCGGTGTCGCGTTTGCTGCTTTCAGCGTTGTAGTGGTAAGTGTACAGTAAACTTGAAGTTAAAAACTGGCCTTTGTTTTATGACCATGTTTGGAACCACTCCAATAAGTGCTACTTTCAGTCTGGCAGATGCCAAAATTTTCTTGGAATTTAGAGTTTAAGAGCATGCGCACACCTGAAAGTAAACTATGCTGACCTTATATGGAGGTGTGCACACTACTCGGTTTAGTTGTGCAACTAAGCAGTTAAATTGGCTGCAAAACAACAATCACACAACAGTTGTGTGAGAGTTTAGTCGAAGGTGTACAATTGAACACACTATTATATGTCTTTATTGTGTAAACTTAGCGTCTAGGCATGAATTATAAATAGTTAGGGTTTTTTTCTTTTTGCAGGCTAAATCTTCTGGATTGGTGTACTTCAACTACTCCCCACCAAAGTCCCTGGATTAAATGATGTATTATGGTCTATGTATGGAAAATCATTTAGTTCAAATAAATAGTATTTAAAAATCATTTTAAGTTTATTTGTATTGTTTCATTACCTAAACCCTTCCCTTTATAGTAAGTTAATACCTTGGCTTTTAGAAATAAAACAATTTATTTAGAAAACTGTCTTTATTGTCTTAATATTAAAATATAGTGATATAAAATGAATAAATATTTGTAATATCTATGATTAATGTTATTTACAACAGCATAACCTTACATATTGCGTAAATGTTAGGTCACGTCTTACATAAAAACATTGCATGCTACTAAAATTGAAAAGAACAAAAGTAACTACTTCAGTCCAAATTTTTAAACGAAGCATGCCAAAATGTAGTTTTTATGAGCCACAATTTAATGATTTGGACTGAAGTTATTTGCTATTATTCCACTCATTTTTGCATATAAATGTATTGCCAGGTCGGAGTTTGTCAATGTTCCCTGGCGATGTCCGAAAAGGCGTCCAATATGTCCTGCGTACTGAGTGGCAGCGTCAGCCCCGCGCCCGGGTAGCACGCTGCGATGCGCGCCTACAACATTACACATTTGTAAATTAGATTTTTATAGTAAACAGTGACAAACAAGCAAGCGGCCAATGGACTTCGTCAAGAAAAAGCGCCATTGGATAGGGGGAATTGAGTACAATAAGGCTTTTCAAGAGCACACTCATAGATAGAAAAGCGAAAATACTTACATAAATAAAAGGGAAAATATATACAAATTGAGGTAATGGTATTATGGGTGTTGGGCTAGCACAGGTACTATGTGGTAAAACCTTGGCCGAGTGCTGTGTGCCGAGTGTTGTTACCTGCAAGGCGACGTGCTGCGCGATGAACTCCTCCTGCATGGCGCGCCACACCACCTGCAGCAGCCCGCCCTCCTCGCTCACGTGCTTCTCCACCGTGCGGTACAGCCGGTGC